CCTGCGGGAGCCTCTGGCCTGGAGGGGCTCAGGGTGCATGGGCGACACTGCGGGTCCCGCCAGAGGGGCGGCGCGGCGCGAGGTGGAGAGGCGCCGTCTCCTAGGGGCGCGTTCCGCCCCTCGCGCCCCATTTCGGCGTGTGATTCGCAGGGGTGCCCAGGCTGCGGGGGACAAGGGGCCTGCCAGCCTGGCGGAGTGGCAAGGGGCTGCCTGGTGGGAATGCGACCGCGAGCGCCAGACAGAACTGGCCCCAGATTAGGAGGGCGCTGGAGGTGGAAGTGGGGTGAAGTGCAGGGGTGTACCAAGCAAGGAGCAGCTCAGAGCGGGCACCAAGGATCAGGCGTAACTCCGGTCACGGACAGATAGAACTTTCCAAGAACTTTCCATCACAGCCACCACACCAAGGGATTACTCTTCCCCCCCATCTGCAGTGGGCAGTGGGGGCCGCCGGGCGCCCGCACTCGACTGTGGTTTGCGGGGGGGCTGTCGGAAACTAGTAGCTTTGCACAGGATAAACGACTCCAGCATATGCAGAACAGGCTAACCAGACTCAAACTGGGAGCCGCAGATGATCGTAGTTGATTGGCACATGGAGGTGCTGGAAGTATTTATAGAGAAGGGAAGAAACAAACTTGGAGTGTAAGGATCTTGGGCAAGGGAATGTCTCAAACGCTGTGAACCTGGAGCAAACTGCCACGGGTATGTAGGAACTGTATCCTCCTGGGCTTGTAGACAGAAAGGTGGACACTTCCTCCTTGTCCTAGGCCCAGGCTACCTTTGCTCTATACCAGACATTTCACCAATGTGAACTCCAGTCTGAATTACAGGGAATGTGCTTGGATAGGATGAGCCTGGATGAACCAGCCATGCAGCCCTGCAAATGCATCTGTGCTCCTGTGGTCTTGGCTCCCAAACTTGTGGCCTATGGAGGTCAGCACACCTAATACCCCCTCTGCCTGGAAGTCCCGGCCACCTCCTCCAGAGAGCCTTCAGCTTACTCCTGCCCAATGAACAAGATCGCTCTGAGCTCTTGGACCCACTGTGAGGTGGGTTCCCTTGGGGCCCCGGCCAGGGATCTGAATGCACTGGGGTCAACACTGAACATTTATGAAGTAGATGGAAGGCCAAAGAGATGAAGGGCCAGCACACTGCCTTTGTACACAAAACACCTGTTATACACACATTAACACTTGTTACTGTCCCACGGACTCCTGGACTGGACTCAGGAGTGACTTACCCTGTGTGGCTATGGACACTGGCTCTAGACCACAGAAAAGCAAACTCAGTCTTAGCCCTGGGTGGGAGGATGTCAGGAAGAGCTACAGGGCCCAAGATGGTGATGACTACCTTTGTTAGAGACTGGCCAAGTGGCAAAGTCAGAAGCTATGTCAGTCTCCCAACAGTTTGTTTGAACCCAGTGGGTAGGCCCAAGTGTGAGCAAGGTGAGGTCCTAGCTGTCACTTCCCAGCTGTGTCCCCTGGGCAATGGATGGCATGTCTTTTCTTGGACAACCAGCATTCGTTCCCCACCCTAACTGTAGCCCGTTTCCTTTGAGAAACCACTCCTTCTGTTTCACTCAGCCTTGTCATCGCTGGCTGGTTTGGGGGAGGGCACAGAGCCCTATCAAGGCCAGTGAGACAGGAGATGCCTCGTGGGGCTTTGTGAATACAAGAACTCCTCTCTCCTTTCTCTTCCTGGTCAGCACTGTGTGAGGATGACAGGGATGGAATCATGGCAGCAATCTACTTCTTCACAAAGGGACGAGCCACTTTGTAGGGCCTGAGGATAAGTCACAGCTACAGAAGATAGGGCCAAGACACACAGGAATGCTAAGGCCAACCATGTCTGAGTGGCTGAACCAATTCTAAAAACTGTGCTACATCTGGCATTTTTAGTTATGTGAAATTTCATTAAGCCAATTTGATCTTTCTGACCCTTGCATCCAAGTTTAAGTGATAGTATGATGCCGCTTACCTCAAAGACATCCCATTAAGATCTTTAATTTTAAAGTACAAAGTTTGTAGGTGCTAATGTGAAGGGTTGTTACTGTCTACCCTACACTCACCATCCCCTTGGAGGCTAGAGATGTCTGGAGTTTCTGGTTCCCCAGGCTCTCTCCAACCCTTTCCCAATCAGACAGGTTCACAACTTCAAAACACATCATTCAGAAGTTTTTAATAAACAACTTCATTATAAAAACTTTTTTTGAAAATGTAATTCTGTAAAACATTGAAAAATCTACTTTAACAAAGATACGCCCTGTGCATTTTCTAATGGCACTTATACTTTACAATTAAAAACCTTGTTTTATATAAAGCCAAAAATACTCCAAGAGGTTATTCACTGTGTTTACAAAGTGCTAGAAGGCTTTTGTCTTGTATTTTTCTCTCTTTAAATAATCTGGCATTATGAAAGAGTGGCCCCAAAGCCTTGATCACTGGGAGGGAGGGAGGCGAATGAGAAGTGGTGTTTCAGGAGTTCTGGTGCCAAGTAGTCAGAGGTGGAGGGGGCACCTACGGAAGTGAGCGTGCATCTGAAGAAACTGGGCTGGGATACTTCTTCCAAACCCCTCCACAGAGGCACTATATCATCATGGTGAATCCTTCTCCTGTTAGAACCAGAACACCCCTTCCCTTGCTGCAGACCCTACTCCAGTGGTGAAGGTCATAGCCAATTCCTTCCACAGCAGGTTCAGAGCTCCAGGAGAGGCCAGGGTGGGGTCCTAGAGGAATCTGGACTTTTCTGGCCAACACCTGCCTAAGGCAAAGTTTCTTATTACATAAATATCCTTGTTAAAAAGCAAAATATTGATCCTGTACAATATAAACTGTTAAAAAAAAAAATCGTGCTTAAAAACAGCTCCTAGATAAGAGGGGAGGTAGAGGGAATGGGGAAAACAGCTACCAAAAAGAAGGTGGGGCAGGGATTCAGACTACTAGGGGAAGTTTAGGGCAGTGGAAGAATCTCAACTTAGGACAATATCTACGAGCAAAAAAGTAATCACACCTGCTTCCCGGATTTCCATTAAATGCCATTTGTAAAAGGTTGGGGGGTAAACTCATTGGTGCTCCTTTTCCCACCTCTTCCCTCTTTAAGATGTGCACAGATCCTTGGAGCTGACACAGCTGGGTAGATCATCCCCTGGCCCCCAGGACTGCATTCAGCCTTGACCAGCTATATGCAGGATGGGAGGTGCCTGCCCCGTTGTTCAGGGCGGCTCATCGCTGAAGCTGGAGGAGGTGGTTGGGAAAGGGGGCATCGCCCCTTTTTCCTGGTCCCTGTTTGGTCTCTGCCACATGCCATGGCTCCTGTCCTGGGCAGACACCCCTCAGGCTCTCATGGCCTCAGTAAAGGTACTGAAGTGGGTTTGGTACTGAGTGCAGGATAAAGCTATTCTTATCCTTCAAACAACCAGGCCAATAAGGCTTTTTTTTTTTTTTTCCTTTAAATTTGGGGAAGGGAAGATTAAGAAACGGCTGGGTGGCTATGGTCCAAGAAAAGGTGAAGGCAGATGTTCCTATGTACCAGCAAAGTTCACAGTGATAGAGAAATTCCTTGTGTGGTGAGGGCACTGAAGGAAGAGGAAAGGAGGGTGGCAGGATGGAGGGGGAGGGAGGGGCAAGGCCCCAGTTACAAGGCTTTAAATAGTTGCTCTGCCTGTTCTAGGAGTTTCCCAACATCACTAATGGGGGAGAGAATTCAAGGAAGGGACAGGAAAGGACAGGCAGGGAAGAGTGGACTCCTCTAAGCCCAAGACTTTCTATTCTGTGGCCAGAGGCCCACCTGCCCCTATAAACGAGGGGTGCAGGGAAGGTGGCAGAGAGCAGGTGAAGGGCTGCTGGGTCTAGTGATGAAGACCAGAGACGATAAGAAGAATGGCAGCACCGAGTCCTGCTTGGACCCTCACGCACCATTTCCTGTAATACGAGTCCCAGTAACATGCACAGCATGCAGGAGGTGGCTGCGTACCAAGGGGGGACGCTTTTAAAAATAAACCTTAATTAGTCCCTGGGACTCACTGAAACTAGTTTTCAGAAGCAAATCACCTAGTCTGATTCTAACCTTGCCAGACATTTTTATATCTAGTTTTGTTTTTTTTTTTTAAAGGTATCCCAAGCTACCCTGCCTAAATCAAAACATGCTTATTCACTCCACATTGCTTCCAATCAAGGGCCAGGGAGATACATTTTAAGGCTTTCACCTCAAAGAGTACTGGCCTGGGCTGAAGCAGAAGCCTGGGTCTTGGACCTGCTCAGTTCCTGATGATAGAGCAAAGTGATTTCTAGAAGGAAGGGGGAACAGGAGGACTGGGACGAGGCTGAGGCAGTTCCTTGGTAGTTTGTCCTGAAACCCTAGTGGAGAAGCCAGCACGAGGCCCTGTGGAGAGGTGCCCACACACGACTGACCGCATCTGTAGGAGTTAACAGTAAAGAGGTAGAAGTGTGTTTCTGAATCAGAGTGGAGGTGTCTCATGAGGGTCCCACACTGGTGGTCCCTGAGCTGCCTCCCTCCCATGAGTGGGAAAAGCGAAGCCCATGCAGAACTGAGAAATGAAGCAGGGATGGGGTTCGGCTGGGCAAGGGCTGCGTGGTCTGTGGCAGGGAGCCCCACAAGCCAGAAGAGAACCAATCATTTGTTGCAAGAAACCCTATTAAGTATTGGGGGCAAACTGCGGGGTGGGGGGAGCACAAGCATAAGGTGGAATTCCTTTGATGGAGAGCAGAGAGGCCTAGGCACAGTGGCCCTGAGTCCATGGTAACTGTAAAGAGGTGGAGAGAGAGGGGACACTGTGGAGAAGAGAAAAGGTTAGTATGGGAGCCAATGACGTACCCACAGGTTAGGACTCAACTGTCTGCCCAGCCCTAACTTCCTGAAAACTCTTCTTCCAACAATTCTACAACTTCCTGGAAAAGGGACAAGTAGGAGAGAGATGAATCAGGGTTTCACACCCTCCCCTTTGCTATCCACACCGGCTTAGAACCCGAGTGCCTCCTACTGAGACTAATGATAACAGTTCATGATGTCTGGGGTAGGGGTTGGGGAGTGGGGGCGATGGAAGCGGGCATGCCTTTCATGTCTTCCCCTCTCCAGTTCAAGAGGGGGGGGGTCATGATGTACTTGGAGAAGAACA